AACCTTTTGTACCACCCAGGGACTTTTAGGCCATGGTAAATGTTTTTGTTAATCTCAAGAGAATTTTTTTTTTTTTTAAGACTCATAATGATGAAAAACAGGTGGGCTAATAAAAATGGCTGTGGCGTTTTTGTCTGGTGATTTTCCAGAAGAAGCAACTTGCAGATTGCACAAATCTTCTTTTTGGGTACAAATACCAGTACTTGACTGCTTACCGAAAGGTTGGCCATTTGAACCTACCAGTGGCTCCACAGGAGGAAGACCTGATGATTTGCTTCCGTAAAGATGATAGCCAAGAAAACCATAGGGTAGTTTCTCCTTTATTACATGGGGTCACTATGAGTTGAAATCAAGTTGATAGGACCTAACAACAGCAACAGAGATGGAGTTCTTGTGTGCTTAAGCACAATTATGAATGGTATTCAGTATAGTGTTTAACTGTGACATTTTTATATCTCTTTCTTGTGGTTTTTGGTTAAGCCTCTTTTTGAAAAGTGTAATAAGACTTTGGGAATTTTCCCTAGGACTGTAATTAAAATGGGTTCCCAAATGAGGGATGAGCCTTCATGGGGTGAGGAGAGTACCGACTGACTGACCTTTCTTTGGGTGAACGTAGAACCATTGACTCTGTGGTCAGGGCTGTGCTTCACAGACTCTCCTTCCTATTGGATTTCCTGAGCTGAAGGCTGTGGGGTAGACATTGCTTGCTGGCCTGGGCCTCCATGCATAGAGAGATGGTTTATTTGGTTTGTGGGCTTTCCAGTATAGAATGATGCTTCACTGTACTTGATTGCTTTTGGAGATTTCTTACTTTTCTGATGCTCCCTTCAGATAGGGGGAGGGGGAAGGACCCAGGTTCTGTCCCTGAAGAATGTTCCCAGAACATTGGCTACTGAGGAGAAAGGTGAAACACATGCTATGGATAGATGTTTGGAATAGCTGTGATTTTTCACTTCTTCTTTCTTTCTTTGTGAAAGACAATTTGTAGTACATTTTGTCTCTCTGAGGAAGACTTGAGTACCCAGCTGGTTAGATATATTTAAAGGGGAAAAAAAATGTCTTTAAACAGACCTTGAAGAAATCTATTATAAATTTGAGTGGGAACCTGAGAATGCTGTGGCATACAGACAAAATTAATTAAAATAACTAATAAATCAAATGTAGCATTACATGGGATTTTTAAGATTAAAATATGTGAAAATTATTTACTGATAAGCTTTGCTTTTACTTCATAAAATATACGAATTGATTCCTTTTGTGCAATTTAAAAACATCACCTCTGCCCTTAAGTGCATACTGTGAATTTGACAGTAAAATTGTGTGCTGTGCTTTCTGCCTTTGCCCCAGTTACTGCTGAGGTTCCTGGCATTAAGAGCTCTGTCTTTTGTAGCCTTTCTGATCCCAGTATCACTGGGCCTGGAGAAGTGGGGTTGTCTTACTTGTTCCCACCTGTCTGGCCCTGCTGTACTGCTGCAGGGCTTGAGGAGTGGGAAATCTCCTGGCAAGTCTGACAAGACTGCTGGCAGTCAGTGCCTCAAGGCCAGGGCAGTTTTCGCCCCCAGAACTGCCCAGGCATAGCATCCTGTTCCAGAGTATTTATCTGTGCCAGGCCAGAGATACTGGTTACATATCCTCCCTTCTTTTACCGTATCCACATTTACTGGACTGGTGTTTGGGGTCAGATGGGTCATATAGCCCCAACATGGTCAAAAGCGTCCCCACCCCTCACCCCCAGTCGGTGTGCAAGACGTTGTTGGGATCTGCAGTAACTGACCCTTTGAGCTAGAGGCCAGGTTGCTGTTGATCATGTTGTTCTGTGCTGTTGAGTCAAACCCGACTCATAGAGACCCCTCCTTGGGTTTCCGAGGCGGCATCACTACAGAAGGAGTGGCTGGTGGGTTTGAACTGCCAGCCTTCTGGCTAGCAGTCAAGTGCCTTAGGCACTGCGCTACCAGAGCTCCCACTGTTGGTCATAGGTACTGGCAAGTGGGTGCCTTTTCGTAGTCCCCCAGGCTGTGGGAGTAGGGTGGTGGCCAACCTAGGCCCTGTGAGCCCTGGGGATAGCTATTGTCGGCTTGCTAAGGTTTGTGATTATGATAGGGCAGCTTCTTGTAGAATGGCTGCTTTTTATTGATATGATGGCTTTTGGGTGCTTACTCTCTACCCCCTTTCTCTGTTTTTGCCTTTCTGTAAATGAAGGCAATCTCGAGGTGATTAGCTACCCTCTTAGGACACATTTGACCTTGCAGGAAGAGCATGATATATAACAGCTATTAAAATTTCTGTATCTGTCACAAATGGCTTTCCAATTTTCATATTTCAAACTTCATACGTTACTAAGGAAAAATACAGTAAAATAAATGCATTCACTCTTTTACAGTATACACAATTTTAATAACAAAACTTTCCTGTACATTACACTTTGTTTACCCTTTCCCTCCCCGAAACTCCCCATATAATAGTCATTTCTTCCCCCCCTAACCCACCTGCCCACCTCCCACCAAAAAGATGGCTCTTGAAGGTGTTTGGACAGTATGTCTAGTCTCCAGTCTCAGTGTTGATAGGAGGATACGCCAAACATTCCATGTAACAGGCCTTTTTTTTTTTTTTCCCCAAATCACCAAGGATGAAAAAGTTAGTTGAAAGAATAGAAGTTTCAAATATTTGCAACAGTAGTGTGAAAGCTTAAACAGGCATTTGTATTTGTTTTTGGCCTTATTCAAGTATTATGAGTTTGCCTCAGGTTAGCTAGAGAAATATTTCTTTATCTTTGTCTTTTTCTGGCTGAAGTACTTTAACCAATAAAATGTGAAAGCATGTTCCAAAGAAGACTTGTGGGACATGGCTATCACTGTATTGCTCTGTTAGGAAAATGATCATATAAATCTACTGCTAAAGATACTCTTTTTTTAAAAAAAGTTTGATGTTGATTTTGACACTTCAGAGAGAGAGAACAGGGCATTATAACTTTTTTCCCCCTGATAGTTTTGTGTACAAAGTATGCCTTAAAATGACAAAGAAAATGATTTCCTTGTTTTGAATTTTAGGATTAGATTTAGTGCTACATAGAACTCATTTTTATTGGAAAGATGGAGTCTAGCTCCTAGCGACTAGCATTGAAATAAGCAAATGTATTTTAATAATTAGTGGTGGGAATTTAAGTCAGTTCCATTCATTGAATTGATACAGAAATGAATTTAGGCACATTAAGGAATTACATGTGTTAGTGCAGATTTTTGGCTTAAAAAATTAGTATCTTTGCTTTTTTATTTTGGCAGTGGGTATTCTCAGAGTTGTGTGTAGATTTGCAAATTTATCAGCCCACTCTTTTCAGAAAGGTGATTGAAATCTCTGGCAAGCTACAGAAAAGAATCTAAACGATATTTCACTCTAGCTCTTGGTTGCTAGGTGGGTACACTATCAGAGCCTTCTTTAGCTTTTAGTTTTCATTTTTTCCAGGAAGGTTTTAATTATTTTTGTGGTTCGTGATTAGGTGGTTATTTCCTACTAACCTTGAAAATTAATTACTCAATAAAACAAAAAAGGTGTGGGGGTGAGAAGGAAGGGAACAGACTAAAACTCCACTGAAAAAAAGAAAGCCCGAACACTATGTTAGCAGAATCTGCAGTGTTGCTTTGATATTCCACCCTAGCCAGTTGGTAAAGAGAGCACAGATGCCCAACAGTCTCATCTTCAAACCTGTGCTGATACTGAAACACAAATAGACCAAAATGAAATGGAATCCTGCTTTCTATAGGCAGTAGAAAAGGGAAGTATGCTCTGTTAGAAAAAGGAAAATAGCGATTTGGCACTGTTACTCACTTTTTGCAGAGGGCATTACCAAAAAAGAAAAAATGGAGGACAAAAAAGTCTATTTTTCAAGGGAAAGTATGCTTGGTGGCTTTGGTTATGCTGTACCCCTGAATTACTATACTAAACAACAGGCTTTTCCATACACATTTAGGATTTTGCCAGTTGATGGTCCATTTTTCTGACTGTAACCTTTAGGATTAATGTGAGGATAGCCAGCCAGTATTTTTCACCCTTCCAGATCACAGTTTAAATAAATTTTGATAGTAGTTGAAATAATGGAAAATAATCCTTTTCCACTATCCTTCAAGACTGACAGAATCTTGTATGCTCTGGGCACAGTTATGGTATGACTCTGCTGCCCCTAACGAATGGCTGTGGCCACCCTCATAAATGGGTTGATAAATTTTAGCTCATAGAGCTCTTATTTGTAGGGGGCTTTTGAGCCATCCCCTCAGTGGGGAAGCAGTGATCTGCGCTCTGTCCTGTTGAACGGCTTGTCCTTGCCCAGGCAAGCCCCAGGGCCTGGTGTAACGAAAGATGAAATGCTGAGTGCTCAAATCTCCTGAACCTGGGCTTAGTTAGACTTGGTCAAAGTAATCTGCCCAGCTGAAAAAATTTAGAGAGCACATTTTTACCATAACTTGTGACCTTATAGGCATTTTCCTGAGGCACATTTTCTTTGAAATGTAGGCATATACGCCTTTTGTAGTATTAAAAAGGAAAAATATTGATTAAATCTTAAGGGTTAAACTGTAGTCATGTTTTCAATTGAGACCTGGGAGGAAAACATGCCTTCAATGAAGAATATCATTATGTTAACAGTCAAGTTTAGGAATAGATAAGTTTCTTTTTATGGTTGTGGTTTTGGCTAAGGATTTATGGGTTTTTTTTGTTTGTTTTCCAATAAGGTAAATGCTCATTCTTCTAAAATCAAATCAGAGCTCTAATTTTACAGATGCTGTTACTACATATATAGACCCTTGTTTATAGAAAAATTCTAAGTGTGAACTTGCAACTTGTCTCTAAATCTCAAATATGTCAATATTTCTCTGCAGAAATTATAACTGAAGAAATGAAATTCTTTCTGCATGAAAATGTGGCACCATTATCATGTGTTAATTTTGGGATGTTTCTATTAACACTACAGAAACCTCTCCCCACCCTTTCAGCTCCTGGACTCTTGCCTGCCCTGTTTGATGTAGATTGTTGCCTCACTCTTGACTGTCTTGTCATTTGAGTTAACCTGCTTGTGAGAGAGTCAGATTTCAGAATGCTGCCTTTCCCCTTCATCCTATCACCTCGCACTGCCTTTAAGTTAACTGCTGTGTGGCTGCACAGGCATGTTGTGTTCTACCCATGAAAAGGCTCGCTTGGTAATACATTGTTCCCTTTCTTTAGAAGGAACTGCTCTTAAAATGTGGATTTGTATGTTTATTAAAAGATCAAAGTTTAGCATATAATATTTTAGGAAGTGATTTTTTTCATGGTTCATTTATAATACATTCTAATATGAATCATCATCATGTCTGTTGCTAGCCAATTATTTTTAATTTGGCTCTGAGGTTTGAAGATCAGGACAAGGCTAAAGAAAGAGGTTTAAACCCCTTTGTCAAGGCATCTTTGATTATGACTGTTGAGAGAAAGGGAGACTGTGTGTGTGTGTGTGTGTCCAAACTACAGGGAGCATATCCTAGGATTATTAAGTTGATCCAATTTCTCTTTTGTATCTAATATTTAATTTTAAAAAAATACAAATGTAAATATAGGATTTAGTAAATTAATTAGTAAAATGGCAATTAATACTAGTTTAAAATAATAGTCTAATGCCACATAAATAAACATGTCTTATAAATCAAACTACAGATGTATGATATAAGTCAGTGTAATTATTTAGTATTGATTTCATTGTAATGGGACCTTTTCACAACGAGTATATTAAAGCATCACTGAGCGTATTAAAATTAAATAGAGGGTTCTGATTTCATGGTGTGGACTTTGATAATATCTACTAACCCAGGCAAAAACTCTAGAAGGAAGAATATTTAGTTTAATTTACCAGTCTTCAGAATATGTGAAATTCTGTTTCTCACACTGGCAGTAGACTGTTGATTTGAGTTAATACCAAATTGTCATAGAAGAGAACTTTGCTAAGGCTCCTTTTAAGCAGCAAGCCATTTGTGGTATGTGGCATGTAGAGCAATGATCAAACAAGTATTGACCCCTGTCATTTTCTGCTCAGTAACTTCTTTCCAAACTATTTTCAGTGGAAACAAATAGCATATGGAGACCTTAGTGTAAATGTTTATACATAGTAGTATATAATTACATACATGAAACATCTTATTTTGAAGTGCGCATGTTTAGACTTTCCAACAGGAGTGCAGATTAATGTGAGCATTGCTTCATTTAACACTGAAAATGGTTTTGTTAAAAATAAAATTAAAAATACTTCAACACTTCAAAAACTAAGTCTCAACTTGGTTTGGAAAATTAGGCTTAATGTCACCATTGGTAAAAATTAGATACGTTTTTAGTCCCTACTATGTCAAATAGGTTACTTATCTGATGTGATTTTTGATGATGGGTAGATATTATACTTCACATTCTTTGTATGGCAGCTGCTGACACTTGCACTGTCCATAACCATTAATGATGATGAAGGGTCCTTCATGGGTGGGTTCATATTCATTATACGGTCCTTGGTCTGACATGTTTGACATATGGAGTCGTGTTTGGGATCGGAGCTGCCTGTGGTTCTGAATCATTGAGCACTGCCTAATTCTTCTTAAAGTGGGAGGGCAGCACTTCCTGGAGATGAACACTATAAAAATAATAAAAAAGAAAGAAAACAATAAAGCCATTGTTCCCGTAATTACCCGCTGAGTGAAGATGGCATTGTCTGGTTCGGGAAAGTGTTCCTCGGTAGTAACTGCTATGCCTGCAGTAGTTGGGATTTCTTTGTCTCCCACATGGTAACTTGATGAGCTTATTCTTTTTGTGTATTCAGTGGTTGGATCTCTATAAGTTGTAGCCATGGCTGTAACAGTGGTTGACAAATTCCAGCAGAGCTGAAATCCATGGACTGCATCTAGAATATCCTCTCCTTGGGTGTGGTCAGGGCTGTGGCATAGGATGGAATGCTCCCACCGACCTTGGAAACTGCCCAGCCAGGAGGCCAAAGCACAAATTCGAGGGCTGCATTCCCACAGATTGCCAGAGAAGCCAACAGTCGTCAGGGATCTCAGGGAGTTTAAGATCTTGGAATCAAGGCTACTTAACTTGTTGTTATCCAGGAGGAGTATTTTAAGGTTAGGCATAGTTTCAAATACCATCAAGTCAATGGCTTTGATTTCATTTCCAGTCAAGTCTAGCTTTTCTAAAGTGCCCCAGGTCCACTCCATCCCGCATGTCAAGTTGCTAATTTTGTTCCATTGTAAGAAGAGCGTGTGCAGACTGCTTAGCCGTAGGAAATGAGCAAAATTAATCTTCGTCAGCTGGTTGTGCTCTAGGTGAAGCTCTCTCAGTTTGATTAATCCTGCAAATCCATTGCGAGCCAAACTTCGCAAACGGTTTGTGCTCAAATCCAGAAACTCCAGACTACGACAGTCCCAGAACAGGCGTACTGGGATAGTCCGCAGGGAGTTGGACCGTAAATGCAAGGTCTGCAGCTTCCGGAGGCCGTAGAAGAGCTCTGGGTGCAGAGATGACAGCTGATTAAAAGACAGGTCCAAATTTTGCAGGTTAATTAGTTGGGTAAAAGTTGTGTTCGGCAAGTAAAATATTTTGTTGGAACTTAAGATTAATTCCTTAAGTTTATATAGTCCTTGAAAAGCGTCTTCTCTTACTGTTGATATTTTATTGTGGTCTAAGTGGAGCCAAGTAAGTTGACTGAAGCTGGCAAATTGATCCCTTTCGAGCTCCACGATGTGATTGTGCCTCAGGGACAGGCCCAGAGAGCCCTTGTCTGTGGTGTTTGGCACTGAGTGGAAGCCCTGAGAGTCGCAGTAGAAGAGCAGCTTCTCGCAGCGGCATTTGGGTGGACACGCCATACCCAGGGCAGGCAGCATTTTTAAAACCATGCTCATTGCATATATTGCTGCCAGCATAGGGGCCCCTAATGGCCACTTGAAATGTAAGCCTGCAGAATATAATTTAAGGAAACAAGAAGATAGGATATTTTTCAGCAGATCATATCGGCTATTGGGAGGAAAAAACAACATAGCATTATGCTGAAAGATTTCACTGCATATAACTTATTTTTCATTTGCTGCAGAAAAACTAACCTTGTTAGTATAACTGGCACAAAACTTAAACATCATTTAAAAATAAGATGAAATGTCTCTGTCACCAGTATTAGATGTTTTCATATAAACCTCAAAAAAAAAAAAAAAAAAAAGTGACTATGATTCCACTGCTAAAATGTGAATTCAGTGGCTTATTTAAAAGCGTGGTTCCTTGCTGACTGTACAAGACATATGAATGCATGGACTTACCCATTCTTCTGAGCACATTGGAGGCTGCATTCAGTCGCGGTTCTTAGACTCAGTGCAGTGAGTCTGTAAAAGGCTCTAACATGCAGGAGCCTCTGACCAGTTTCCTGTTTGCTGTGTCCCAGGCTCTCCAAGTAAAATTTAATCCGCTAGGGTGAGTTGTTTGTTTTTTTCTTTAGGATATTCCTCTGGAAAGCATTGGCTTCATTTTCTGTAACCGCTCTGATCTTCTAAATCAGTTTCGAATATAAGTTATCTTCTCCCCTTCTGACTACTTAGCTTGTAATCAAAGCTTCAGTCTCTCCTTTCCGAAACAACCGTTAGTTCTCTTGGTCTTAACTTGTTGATGGCAGATGGGCGGCTTGTTGCAGAGAAGAGCTCCTGGAGCAGCATGAGTGCATTTACTGAAAAGCTTTTCTGAGAAACGGCACAAGAATGAATTTGCTCATGTGCTGCAACCACACAGAACTGTATATAGGCTGACGTCACCGGGTGACGTGTCTTTTGTTTGGGTTTTCCAGAAGCTTTACTGTTATAAAGCACCGTGCTTTGTAACAGTATTGGGGTTGTTGCAAGACCCCCTGATTAAAATAAAGCGAGAAAGAAGAACTCCTGACTTAAAAACCTGGTGTTCCTTCAGAGTAGGAAGCAGCAGTGAGGTTGTAATAAAGGCTGCATTCAAGAAGACCCATCTGAACAGTGAGTTGGGTTAGCAGAGTGATGATTTTAATGCTTGTGAGAGCCAGTTTTAGACTGCCGATTCTGCATAAAGAGATCATCTAAATGGGCAGGAGCCTGCACGATTTACGAAGTGCTGATTTAATGCCAGACTATGCAAGATAGTGCCCATTGCTCTTGGAGTTTAGAAAGCTGCTACTCGGTCATCTTGTTGTCATGTTTGGTTAAAATAGAAGTATGACTGATTTGCTTTAGATGTGTTGGTAAACTACCTAAATGGACATGACTTCTCTTGTTATTAAGAGCTTCACATCATAAATTAAGTATAAAGGGTGACAAAAAGAAAAAAGCTTCCAAAACAAAGCATTTGGTTATTTTACTCTGAGAATTTCAGGAGAGCTCTCATTAAAGACTTCTCCTCTGTCCTATTTTATAACGATGTTTAATCACCATGCTGATGGAAAAATAATGCCGAGTTGAATTTTGATGTGTTACTGGGAGAAAAGGGTAGGTTGGTGCAGTCATTTTAATACTGCATGCCCTAAGTGTTAACACTGGAACAGAAATGACTTAGGACAAGTGATGTAGTATGCCTGGATTCTGACGTGCTCCCTTGTATTTACCTCAGAATCTCGTCTCACCTATTCCTTCAGCTGAATGCCTCAGCTGGTGCTGGGATTGGGATTGTGGCGCTCAAACAATAGACCATTTGGACATTTAATATTGGCACATATAAGAACTGACTTGAGTCTCTTACTAACTATTGTTGGACTCTCTCTAGTGAATACAAAAGGTCATTCATATTTTTTAATAGGATTTTTTCTTTGGCTGTTTTTACCTGACCTAACTCTAGCTTCTCTCTATTGAATAGTGTCATCACATTTTAGACCTTGGTTTTAAATGTACAGTTCCAGATTTATGTTGTGTAAGTGTGAAAGATGTTTCTGTAGCATGAGTGACTGTCAACATTTTCAAGCCTAATGAAGGTAAGCCTTCTTAGATACACATCTTACCTTATTGATTTGGTCCTAAGTACCAGTTCCCCTCATACCTCTGGCACTTACCCTCAGTAGATCTTTTCTTGGACATGGATGCAGAAATCTCAAACCTACCCTGGCATCTGTGAAACAAGAACATCATTGGATTGTTAACTTCTGAGGGTTTGATTTCACTGGATAAGTCTGAAAAGTCACTGTCAGAAGGGGTATAGTTTCGGTGTTGGTGAGGACTGGAAGACTCCAAGGTTCATTCCTTGTGTATGTGTAGGGGTCCGTTTAAAGGTGCTATATGAACTTCCGAAATGAAGGTATGTCAGTATTGGTCCTTGTAGAAGCATTCCCCAAGAGGAGATCAGAAGTATGAGAGTTTTATTAGGGGACATTACTGGGAAGCATAAAGGAATAGGCCAAGTGAGCCTCAGACTACGGTGCAGGTATGATACTTGTAAAAGGAGAGGGGAAGGAAAGAAGATTATGTAGGCAGAATCTCAGAGTGCAGTGCAGTTGTATGGTAGTTTCTGCCAGGCCCAAGGGAAGTCTACCAGCTGAGGATGCTTGTGTCCTCAGAAAGAGCCTGCATTGGTACTGTGTTCCTGCTTTCTGGTTAAGGAAGGTAGGGAAGCATGTCCTGTTTTAGACTCTAGGAGGACCACTGATTTTGGAAATTTCCATACTCCATGGGTCAGAAATTCTTAAGTTGCATCCACAGACAGAAAAATTTTGTTGCTTGTGCATTTTTCTGTGGATAGGGTTTATAGATTTAATCAAATTCTTACGAAGTCTGGGACTCAGTGTTTCAGAACCGCTGTTCCACAGGAACTTTCTCCTGAAAGTCCCAAGCCAGGGGAGTCTCATAAGGTGGTCTTTACTTTTTTTTTTTTAAAAAAAGGAGAAAAAGCCTTTGGGACAATGTGAATGCCATTAGGGAAATCAGCCACCTTCTGGTGAGAAAACTTTTGCCATGTAAGAGAAACTGGATTAAACTCTTGCCTCAAGCAACAACTTTAGTTCCGTGTGGAGAAAAACATATGAGTCATTTGGATTAGAGCAGCCTTGATTAGGAAAGAGCTCTATGTGAAAATTTAGAAGGAAAAATATCACATTCTTCTCAGACTCTTGGTTCCTTCCTTTCTGCTCTCTAGTCTATTGGCATACTTCTTATATACTAACAAATTGAAACTACTTAAATTATATTATCTCAGTACTATTATAACAGATTTGTGGGCAAGGAAAATTGCCCAGAGAAGCACAGATGCAATCAAGAGTAATTATTTTTTGATGTGTGTGGAGAAGTAAACAATAATGCTTGCTGTATCACAGCACCCAGATAGCGCAGTTCCTTCTAGGTCACCCGCCACCTTTGTCATCTGCCTTCTCTTTGGGTTCAAAAGGGGTACAGGCCATAGAACCAAAGAAGACATAATGTTTTGCCTTAAAGCTGGTGGAGTACACATTTTCCATTGATGGAATTTTGTATCATTTCTTAATCTTTACCCTTTTTTAGCTAAAAGGGCTAAGCAGAAGTTCTTGTTCTTTCTGATCTAACCTTTTTCTTGGTTTCGTTTTAGAGCAGCTTTATGTTTCATACATATGCCTTTGAATTAATTAAAGTTGCACTACTACTTCTGGAAGGTACTATCTCTGTCATCTGTTTCAATTTTCACTGCTTTAGTTGTTTGTGAAAAGGCAAAGGAGAAGTAAAATCTAATCCATCTCCTTTCTGCAAATGGTTTTAAACAAATAAGGGAGTCAAGTTGCAGGTCTTAGGTGAAAGTAGTCTGCATTCCTCTGCGTGAGAGTTTGCATTTATACATATGACTAATTAGGGAGAATTATGTCCTGCACTTGAAGAAGCAAATATACAGACATATGGGTGGAATCTTCTATTGTGGTAGGAGAGGTAGCTTGATATTTTGCTTTATACTAAAATGCCTGATGTTTCTATAATCATGCTCAACTCCAAAAATTTTAATATCCTGACATCAGGTGCTACACGGAGATGCTCTAGAATAGTCTGTTAAAATAAACCTTGTTGTTCGCAATCTCTCATAATCTAAATAAGGGCATCTTCTCAGATTTATCAGAACGTGATCACAGTTTTTAAGATGGAAATCACGAATCTTGGGAGTCTTTTTTGGCAACCATTTGGGCCTGTGTTGTATTGAGACCCTAATTAGAATGTAGTTTTATTAGTCTTTTTGTTATGTGTGTATGTGGAGGGAGGAAAGAGGAAATAAGGAAGTTGGGGGAAGATTATGGTAAACCCTAGAGTTGTTCACTACTTGAAAGCATGTATGTTTGTGGAGACAAAGATGTGACTATTCTTTTAAATTTTTGATTTGCTATTTGAAAAAATAGGAAGAATCACTGGGGTTTGGCACTAAACATGGTCAGTTTGTCTGTCTTCCAGACAGAACCTATAGAACGGAGGCAAATAGAAATATAGTGATTGATGGTTTGCCAAAGTCTGGCTAACCAAACCAAACCAAAACTGCCCTCGAGTCGAATCCGACTCATAGCAACCCCTCCTTGGGTTTTCGAGGTGGTATCACTATGGAAGTAGATTGCCCAGTCTTCCTTCTGAGGAGCAACTGGTGGGTTTGAACTGCCAGCGTTCTGGTTAGCAGTCAAATGCCTTAGGCACTACGCCACCAGAGCTCCCAAGCTAAAGAGTAGTTAGTCACAGGTAGAGCCAGAAGATCTGAGAACATTCAGAATTCTAGACTCCTGGAGTCTTGGTGTGCAGTTAACAAGTGAAAAAATAAATGTCAGGTTAAATAAAGTGTCTATGTTGCTGGAAATCTTTTTTTTCCCCAAAACCTTTAAAAGTAGACTGTCCACGTTAGGTCTGTAGGAACCCCAGCCTTATCTGGCTCCATATCCCCATCCCTGCCTTCCTTCAATTTTGGTTTTTTAAAGTACTTTTGGTCTCATGTTAAAATCCCTGGGTGGTGCACATGGTTAATGTGCTCGACTGCTAACCAAAAGTTTGCCAGTTTAAGTGAACTCTGAGGCACCTCAGAAGAAAGTCCTGGCAGTCTGCTTCCAAAACGTCAGCCACTGAAGACCCTTTGGAGCACAGTCCTAGTTAGACGCACACAGATCGCCACAAGTAAAAATCACCTCAACAGCAACTTGATTCATGCACAGACTGATTGAAATGCACATAGCCAAACCTTTTTTAAAACTCTTGTTCTGCTTGTAGGGCATTATTGCCCTCATGTTTCCCCTTCCTATGTGTGTAGCATGCTTTTTTAAATTCTGAAATATAATTAAGTTTGGATTGATCTTCCCTGCCTTCTCTTTCTTTACATTTTGTGTTGCTTTTGATTTAGATGCATTTCCTCCTGACTACATTGATGGCCACCAGCTGTACAAAGCCATTTGCACAATATAGAATTAAGAGTTAAACTGCCCACTCATACTTACTTGAATAACTCCTGTTCAGTTTTTTAGTGAGCTCTTTGACCCAATTGGCTAAATTTAAAGGGATGAATTTTGCATGTATGTTGTCTAGATGCTAGCAGGCTTGGTTCCTGAAACTTGGAAATGTCATTCTCTCAGAAGCACCCTGTTAGTGTGCAATGGTGTGGAGGAAGGGTGACATGTGCTAAGGCATACACACAAATTGAATATATGGCATCCTTGATTTTAAAAAATAGATGAAATTTGGCCCCAAAATAGCAAAATTATTTTTTATTTTGAAAGGCTTATACTTGCATGTCAGCATTATGGCTGCTGTTGAGATATTGGGTCAGGGCTTGCTGAGATTTGAGGGAGCAGTGGGGAGGGAG